TCATCATTTTTTTACTATAATTAATTAACTGTGAGATCATTTAGTTCCTATGATTTTGTCTCTGTCCCTTCCTAGGCTACCATGTGATGCCTGGATTCATAGTCCTTATGGTCTTTTCACGGACCTTAGTCCTTGTTTTGAGGAGCTTTTGTGAAAGGAAAATGGGTTTGCAAATTTTAACTTTTCTGGAGAAAGAACTAAGTGAGATTTTAGATATCAGTTTCCGTTTTATCAGAGGATTTATTCTCTTCTGCTAATAAACTTGAAATTTGGTAACATGTTAAACCTTAAAGAAAAGGAAAAAAAATGTTTGTATGATAAGTGGATTTATGCTTTTCGGTATAAACGATAGAGTATTATGTTCTTTGTGAAAGTACCTTGAACAAGGGTTAATGTGAAAATAAAGGACTTTTATAACGCGATATTCTCAGTTTTGATTCTTTTCACGCGATGTTCTTTAATTTAACCCACTTCTCCAACCGCAGCCATTGTTTTCGATTATATACACTTCAAGTAATTTACACATGTAAACAGAAAACTGTATAATATGCACCTTTTTGTGTTGAAACTCTTCATGAATAGATGATATAAGGAAAGAATGAATGAAAAATGGCATAAGCATGAGACAGATAAAATGGTTTTCTTTGAGGCATAAAAATGTGTAACATCAGTGATTTGGGAAAGATCTTGATTGGACTCATCCTGATAAAAATCAGTGAGGAGATAGTCATGTATTTCCTCAAAACTTATTGGACTTTTCAAATCCGTATAGTTTGCAGAAACCTTCTTTTATTCAACATTATCCTATTTGGTGTTTTTAACATTCCCCAACATTGTGACGATATTTTAATTAATTACTTGATTATAGAATGAAGGTTCAATTGATTTCTTGATATTTCTATTAATTGAAACTATTGTATGTAAGGTTTAATATCAGTAAATAAAAATAACAGGAATTAAAAAAAAGTTTTGCAAAGTATTACTTTTGTAGTGTATTTCTTATAACAAGTAGCTAATAAACAAAAGTTACAAAGCTTACTCAATTGAGCTTTGAAGAAAGAATAGAGAGAAAATAACTTGATACTGAATCATTGGAAGTAATTGGTTTTGGTAGAGAAAATAAGGATCTGGTTAGCACAACAAAGTTTCAATTGTGACGAATGGAACCGGATGAATTTTAGTTGTAGTACTTTACAAGCAACATGACCAATCTTTTCAGGATCGGAAAAAGTAAAAAATGCCTGAAATTAAACTTTTGATTCTTTCTCAAAGTAATAAAATGTTGTTTACATGATTAAAACTTCACCAGCAAATTATTATATATCCACCTTAAAGTCGTCAATATCGACCCGTTTCTAATATAAATATTTCTTTATTGTCGGTTAAATATTTTGTAGTAATTGTTCTTGAACAAAAATCGCATTCAGAGGATCAGACATATGCTTAACAACTTGAGAGGATTGACCCTACACCAACTTACAATGCCAGTTTCATAGGAAGTTCTATACTAAAATTCTATCCATGAAAAAAACTTAATTATAATTATGGATAATAATAGCAGTGAACATATTAAGAGTAGTTAAGTGTCCATACTTAGCGAATCTATCAATCAACACCATGATCATTTTATAGCCGTGAGAGGGAGGAAGCCCCGTGATAAAATTCTTTGCTAAATCTTCCCAAATTTGGAAATTGCTTCTATGTTAACATAATCTCTTGTATAAGTAGATCATCTTTGCATCATGCATCCGGTTTCTTTAGAAAAAGATAATGGAATAGGAATTTTGGCTAAGTACAAGGCATTAGTTTCCAAGATAAATGGCTTGTTTAAAATTCTGATTTTTTTTGAAATTCAAAGGAGTAGGCTAAGCCAAAAGTGTTTGAATTTTGTCCTTGTCCATTGTCACACCTTACTCAGAAACAATGTGACTAAATTTCTCAACTTGCTGCAAGCTGGAGGAGCATTCGTTCATGACACTTTGAAATGTTGTCAATGTTAGTCTATGCAAATGACATAACAGACTATTCATATGGACCCTGATGAATTATAAATGTCTTTTTATATTAATCTTCTTCATTGATCAAGATTCGATGGTAATCGAATCTGAGATCCAATTTAGTAAAGAAATTAGCCTTAAAAAACTCATTAATGAGCATTTATTGTAAGACTAGGAAAACTATCTTTAATTATTGCATTCAAAAGCACGACAGTTAGTGCAAAATCTCCATGTCTCATCCTATCTTCTTCTTAATAAGGATTATTGGTATGAAAATAAGTTGTTACTAAAGACGATGATACATTCATTCAACATGTCTCAGATTATACTCAATAATCCCCAATGATAATGATAATTAGGGATTATTGAGATTGTAAAAAGATAGTTTAGCTCTCACTCTCAAGCAATATGAACTCGCAAACCATTTATATGCTCATGCAGTGATAAAGCTTCCAAACTACCAATAAGATTTGAAGGGAGTGTCAAGTGAAAGATCTGCCATGTCATTGAATATTAAATATTAAACATTAAAATAATGACAGCGAACATAAACGATGGGATAAAGAAGAAAACGCAATCATCTTCGATGCATAATTTAGAAATATATTAACATTAATTTTAATGAATTTATGTGTAAATGGTTTTATTTTATTGTATTTTTAATTTTATTTAGAAAATATTGGTCATTATTAGACATATTTACTTAAGAAGATAGATACAGCCATTTTATTTTAAGAGCGAACTACTTACATACAAAAAAAAAAGTTGAAAAGAAATTAAATTAAAATTGCTAAAAAATGACTGAGTCTATTTTTAAGGCAGATGCATATAAGCAATAGGTTATTATTAGCAAATTCCTCCTTTTGTTTTTAATTAGCAATTTGATTTCATCAAATTTATAGATGGGTAAAAAATCGGCCCCATTATAATAGAAAGATGTACAATAAGACAGTGCATTCCAAAATGAAGAAAAACAAAGCAGGGTGTTACTTCTTGCACCCTATCAATTTTCTTCTTACACTCATTAAAGTTTGTGAAATATCTTTTTAAAATAAGAGTGGGTGAGTGTCTTCCAAAAAAGTAAGTATTTTTCAGAAAAATCTTTTCGAAAGTGATTTAATGACGGAAAATAAAATCCGCAGTGATGAGATGCAGGAAGAAATTTGATAGAATGCATAAAGCAGGAAGTAATAGCCAACAAACGTAACTCAAAACTACCCAATAGTTGTGGGTTTTACGTGGCCCAACGGATCCCATAATCCCCAAAATGCAATTCCATCAGGCTATTACTTTCTGCACTACACAATTAATAACTGCATTGTCATACTTATTGAAAAAAATTAAAATACCCTTCTTCACTAGAGTACTCCACAGCCGCCGTCACCTCTACTATAGTCATTGCTGCAGAAGAGAGAAAAATAAAATAAAAAAAGACCTCATAAAAAAATTTAATTCCAAAAAGCTTATTTTACAAACCTTTCAAGATCTGAAAGTCTCTTTTATAAAAGAGTTAAATGGTAATTTTGAAAATTTGAGAGGAAGCGTAAAAAGATTTTGGAAGTACAACCAGTAAGTTGAGGTTTTCCTACTAAAAGCCCAGATTGAGTCATTCTAAATCAGAACTTTCAGTTCTCTGGGGCCCAACAGGTAACTTCGTCTTTCTCATAAACAGTTTCTTGTTTTTTTCTTTTATAAATTTTTGTAGAAGATAAATGAAAATTATAATAAATTGTAGTTAAGGAAAATGCTTCTAAACTAGGTTATCCTTCATCGTTTTATATTTGGATTAGTGTAGAAGTAGGGAATTGAAATGAATTGAAGTGAAATAAAATATAATAATATTAAATGAAATTAATTATGAAATATTGTAAACGAATTAGATTAAATTATATTTTTGACTTGTTGGCGGATCACAGGGTATGACCCTTTATCACACTCTTACTATTCTCTCAACTTAACAAAACCATGGGGAGGGAGAAATGAGTTATTTTTCCATTTCAACTACTTTTATGAAATAAATAAATATTATTATATTAAAATTACTGTATAACAATGAAATTGATTTGAAACTCAAAAAATAATTAATTGAACAATAGTCTATGAATAACCAATGATGAATCTATCTTGAAAAAATGGTGGAATTAAAATATTTTATTATAATTGTTTTAAAGTTTCTTACTTATTCTTCAATTACACTCAACACATTCTTTAATATTAATTTCATTATGATAGATTTTCGTTTTTATTTTTTAAGCATTTCATTGCATTTTATTAATCTTTTAGAGTATTCATAAGAGTCAAGTATTTGAAAGCAATTCTATATTCGTTGAAAAACGACTCAGGGTTACTTTAACTCTATCTAGTTTATTAACTATTAACTTGACAAAATTGAAGTTGCCTTGTAAAGTAATCTTATAATATATATGCACACACACACATATATAAGGTTAAATATGTTTTTAGTCCCTCAACTATCAAGCGTTTTTATTTTTAGTCCCTCTCCCAAACTTTGGTACACTTTAATCCTTGTCCTTAAGGAAACTGTAATCTTTTGTCCTCCATAACTAACGACGTTAATTTTTTTTCTGACCTGGCTAACGGTATGCCACGTGGAAGGCCATTTCAAATTTTGTTTCTGACTTTAATTAAAATTTAAATAAAAAATATTAAATTATAGGGTCAAAACTGGAAAAATTTTTTGGAATCATCATTCTCTTCGTCTTTATCGAGAATCCCCTCTCCTTCTCAGTCTCCTCACCCAAGGCAAGAAGCTTAACAACCTCAGGCAAATCATCATAATCATTAAAAGTCCCACGTGCCCCCGCCGACGAAGATGCCAGCAACGACGCCACACTCTCATCTTTCCCTTGAAATAGGAACTCAGAAGATCCAACTTATTGCTCTAATTTAGTCCCATTCCTTGGAAGCAATGTCATCTTCAAAGGGACAACAAGCGAAAAGTGGTAAGGCTCCGCAGGGTCATCACCAATTGCTGGTGTACAGGGCCTAACGAGAAACATCATACTCAAGCTTATAGCAGGAATACCAAGGGCAAGAAACACCAGGTACTTAGAGGAATTGCTACAAAGCTTATTGTTGTAAATCTTAGTCAAAATGGTAGCACTAAGTCCCCCTTAACCTTTCAGAACCCCATCGACAAAGCCTCTGCTAGCAAGGAAGATTCCCAGTTTCTACAAGAATCCCCTATCCTTCCTAGTCACAACTAAAAAACAGGATCTTGATCGAAAACCAGATCTTACACGAACAAGTGAAATTTTGGTAACAACTCTGAAAAAGGATTAAGAAAAACAAAATAAAATTGAGAAGAGGAGAAAGAAACCTGAAGCTCGGAGAGGTTCTCGGTGTAGAAGTCAGGAAAGGTGTTGACCGTGGCTGTTGAAGATGGAGAAGCAAAGAGTGTCTGCATAACCAAGAAAAAAAAATTCAGTTTTGACCCTACAATTTAATATTTTTTCTTTTAATTTTAATTAGAGTCAAAAACAAAATTTGAATTGACCTTCCATTGTAGCACACTTTTAGCCACGTTAGACAAAAATTAACGATGTTAGTCATGGAGGACGAAAAATTACAGTTTCCTTAAGAAAAATGATCAAAGTGTACCAAAGTTTGGAAGAGAGACTAAAAATAAAAACGCTTGATAGTTAAGGAAATAAAAACATATTTAACCCTATATATATATACATATACATATATATATATATATATATATATA